CATCTACCCAGGCTGCAGCCGACCGCCGCGCTGCCCCATGTGGGAGAGCGTGCCGGTGCTGCCAGCTAAGCCTGACTCCCGGGGGTGCAAACCCGCCCTGCCGGAGCACGCTGGCGCCCGGCCCCGGCCACGCACGCAGCCCCGGCCTGATCTCCAGCTGCCCAGGGTCAGCCCGGCTGCCCTGCACATGCGCAGTCCTCGGCACCCTCGAAGCCTCTGGCAAACACATGGCCCTTTTCGCTGGCGTGCTGCTTACACCGGCAAGGTCCAGCGGTGCAGATGTGAGCCAGGGGCCTGGGCAGCTGCCAAGCTCCCGGTGCCCGGCCAAGAGAGGCAGAGCTGCACAGCCAGGAAGTCGTTGGCCTCACCGAGATTTGGGGGCTCTGATCTCGTTATCGTTACAACAGGAATTTCTGATTCTGAGATATTTTTAAAAACGTTTCCAGCTCTTGGAGCCACAGCCAAGTTGGCTCTGTCCGGTCTGTGACCGTGCTAACAACCACCACCCCCTCACTGCTCTGAGCATGCGCGGAGAGCTCTTGGTCTAGTCGGGGGCTTTGGTTTCACTTTTTAATCCCTCTGCCGACAGCTCAGCAGAAGAGGCGTTGGGCCAGCTGCACGGCCTGCCCTGCGCAGGCACCCAAGTGGGGGACGTGCCCAGGGTGGCAGGCTGGGTCGGTGTCCTCCACACACAGAAGTGACACCCTGCGAGGAGCTCAGGGCCCCAGGGACGGTGATGCTGACACGACCCTTTTCTCCCCGTTACGTACCCGCAGAGGCATGACCTCGTTTGTGACCAGGAAGAGGAGCAGATGGAAATCGGAAATCATGTCTAGGAAAACGGAGGAAGTATTTTGGGACAGATACGTGGCCAAGCTGTGGAAGTCCTGCAGAGAGAGGAAAGTAATAAAGAGAAGTCACTTCCCCCCCCCAGGCAATAACTTCATTTTCCTATTTGGATCCACTAACAGACACTGTAACATTGCTGTCTCTTTTGGGCATTGGCTGCAATGTGCAGAGACCCTCCCGAAATCAGCACCCAGGCTGGCTGACCAAATTGCAGCTAACAACTTCCAGAGAAAAGGATCTTTGGGCCCACACTAGCTCTCTTATCCGATCACCTGAACACCTCCAGCGCATACAGAGTGGATCTCAGACCCAGGAGACGCTGAGCAGAGGCCAGTCAGCTCAGCACAAAGCCCAGTCCCTAAGGAAAAGAGGCAGATGAGGACAAAGCAGCCCCTTCTTCCCCAACTCCCTCTTTTTCTCTGCTCTTGAACCCTGGGCATCCTCAGAAACGAGGACCAAAGCTGTCGTTGAACAGCTGGCCTCTCCCACTCTGCTGACAGAGCCACGACGGGCAGTGACCCTTCTTTTGTGACGACTTTTGGAGGAAGCCTTTGACATCTTTGGCATGGCCTCCTTAGAGAAACGAGCTGTGGCTGCTTTAAAGCAACTCGAGCTTTCCAAGTGCTGGCAAAACCCAGCGAAAGCCTTGAGCTGTCCGGCAGCTGCCTCTGCTCAACGCTATGGGCCCCTTGCAGTAAATGGTCTCTGCGTTTTAAAAATCTGTTCAGGAAGAGAAGTCAGCATTCTCAGAGCTGGAGCAACAGACCCTTGTCCCACTCCTGTTGGCAGGGAGAAGCGGGTCCCGTGCTGTCACTGTGGGGCTGGAGCCCCCCGACCTCTTTGGTGCTGTCTGGGAAGTGGCAGCCCTGGCACAGAGTGAGGAGCCCTGGTCCCCATCACCGAGCAGGCGGGGAGCAAGGCGTCCAGCCGGCCGATCGGCATGCAGACGCTGCTCCACGCAGGAAGGTGTTTGGCAAGCGCTGGACTGAACCGCGAAGGGGTGATTTAAGGGCACAAACTGCAGCCATCTCTTTGCAGATATTAGTAAGTGCAAGGGAGACAGATGACCTATCTGTATTAAACACAGCTTTGTTATGAATCGCTCCTTACCTGAGTTTCTCCCAGCACATCGCGGTTCTCGATGGGGAATGGATTTTGAGAAATAGAAAAAGTGTAGACTGGATCCTTGGGGAAAGTTGTAGTAATCTAAAAATCCAAGAAAGGACGGACGATCAGAGCGCTGACAGCAGGAGAGGCAAGTGGGATATGGGAAGCAAGGCTCCTGATAGCCGAGAGCAGCCGTAGCTACAAATTAGAGCTCAGCCAGGAAGACAGCAAGGCAATTACAGCAGGGATCTTCTGACGGCTTTTAACATTTAAAGCGATATTCCAATCAGCACACCCCTTAGCTCCTGGCAATCGTTTCTAACGAAGCTGGAGGGAGATGTACTGAGCTCCGTCCTGACAAGAGCACCACGATGCCGTGGAGAGCATCCCTCTCTGCAAAGGTCACCGGGACGCAGCAGCTCCCAGCACAGCTCTGCCCTGTGCCAGGCAGCTGCTGCGGGGGGTGTTTGCGGGGGGTGTCACCCTGGGGGTGTCACCTTAACAGCCGGGGGTGACACGGGAGAGCGTGGACCCTGCGTCTGGCCATGGCGTAGCCAGGGGACCGTGCTGCTCCATTCGGGGCTGGAACAGGTACCAAGAAAACATCTTTGCACTTCGTTGAACAGAGTTACCCCATCATGCTCTGGGTGTGCTCACCCTGCCTCCTCCCTGCACCCTGTGCCAAAGGGATGGGGAACAGGGTAACACAATATTGCGCCCGCGTTACTGAGCTCCCAAGCCAGTGAGATTTAAACCAGTCCTGATTCTGGGGGCTTCAAAGCTTTGGTGTCAGTTACTGACTGTTGGACCCTGTCGGCGAGGCCCTTTGTAAGCAGAGATGCAGAAATACCTGCCATGACAGTATTAACTGGAATCTCAAAAACTTCAGCAAACACATGCGGCTTGCAGAGAAAAGTGGCGTATTTACATATAACTTTACAGTTTGCCAGTGTTTCTCACCTTACCCTTTTTGAACATGTAATTCAAAGATACGAGTATCTATAACCTCAAACAAACAGCCAATAACCAAAAACCTCTTAGCTGACTGCAATCTAAATCTTTACTAAAAAAAAAAAAAAAAAAGAGACAAAACAAGACGCTTCAGAAATGCAGCTTTCCAATCTGCTCCTAAATGTATGTTCCATCAATCTGTTTTCATCTTAATTACACCCCAGGTAGCCTGGAAACAGATGCCTTTACTACTTGAGTAGTAAATATGCACCAGTGCTGCCGACTGGCAAGGGGCGTCCGAGGGCCCCGCACAATGGGCCCGTTGTTCCACACATGACATTTCTCTGTGTGAGTCACACCTCCCAGCGTCAGCCCGAGCGCTGCTCTGATAAGCGACACACAGAGCAGATAGTGAACGGGGAAGAAGGACGAGGCAGTGGAAGCCTCCAGGCTGCCAGCTTCCCTGTGCCCGCGGGACACTGCCTGTGCCAGGGGCAGCTGGACCAGACCAGTTGCTCCGGTGGATTTAATCGTTATTGGCACCACCTCTAACTCAGCAATATCATCTGTCATCCGAATTATTTGCTTTCCTGCCTTCCACACCGTAACAGTTTCCTTTCAAGCCAAAGGGCAGAGCCGTGCCCCAGTGCCTGGCAGCGCTTGCTCACGGGCAGGCAGCAGCCCTGCTCCAGCCAAGCTGTGCTGTAGCGTGAATTCCCTCCCCCAAGAAAAGGCATTTCTGTACAACCAACCTGGTCTGCTGAGTCACTAAAAGGAGTTGGATTCTTAATTGCTGCTAAAAGACAGACAACTGGAGCTCTCTAATTAGCTCCCCGTGAGGTAGCGCCCAGCACATGTATCTGTGGGGCTGGCCGCTTCCCCTGCTGCGTGGCTACGTGCCAGTTCGGAGCTGTGATAAGACACCAGGCAGTGCCTTCCCAGGAAGCAAGTGTGTTCCCTGGCAACACACCGATCCTAAGGAGCACTGCAACTACCCCAGAGCACACCAACCTCTGTGCTAGAAATGCCTGGCAGCAGAGGGAAAAGAAGAAAGAAAAAAAATCTGTCCTATGAATCGCCTCCAATTAGATTTTAGAGGTGGGTTAAGAACTTCACTCCACCCTGACCATGTCCTGCTGCAATCAAACAAGTGCAACAGATACTTACATCTATGATTAGGTACTCAACCGGGAGCGGGCGAGCCAGCTGTGTGATCTCGTTGCCAAACTTGTCTATGTCCTGAAAGAAGAAGAGTCTTATTATTCCTCAGCATGGAAGTGGTGTGAAGCCTAAGGGATCCTGCCCTGGAGATGCCCATGCAGGAGTCCGGGGATCCTCAGCTCTGGCAGATCACTAAGGGTGTAGAAAAGAACCTGCTCGTATGTGGCTGGGTGCTGCAGAGCTGCCCAATTACCTGCAGCTCCTCCGGGCAAGAGAGCTCTGTAACTCTGTAAGCCAGCCCTCTGTTTCCTCGTGAGCCAAGGGAGTGTGTGGTCACAAACCACCTTGGTCTTGTTTGCCTCAGTCATCACCACCGGAGAGGTGCCTGGCATCATCTAAGAAGCGTAAATGCCATTTAAGGAGCAGTACTGACTTAAAAGGGAGGGACAGCACCACATCTGCTTTCTCAGCCAAGGCAAACCTGACTTTCTGCAAAACCGGCCACGAGTCTCTCATCCAACTCTCGCTTGGGAATTGGAAATCCAGGCACTTTCTCATACACAGACCTGAAGAGCCAGCATATCACAATGCATAAACTTGTTTTGCTTTGCCAGACGAATTGAACATAAAGTTTAATTATGGAGAAAAACGGCCAGCATATGTTCATTAATCATAAAATGACAATTAGATGTGATTTATGTCAAACATGCCGAGTTCAAACACAGCTTCAGAAATAAATTCATGAGAACTGACACTTTTCATTAAAGATTCTGTAAGAGGGGGTTGTATTTTCTACCTAAATCATCACTTAACATGTTATAAATCATTCATTGAGCCCCATATAAATCAGACGCCCATAATTTCCAATCAGGGACCTTACATTAAAGCTTACATTTACTGAGCTCTCAGAAGCCCCAGTGGCTGGAGGCAGACCCAGAGCCGCCGCACGCCGGCGGAGCCATCACCCCGACACCTTGGTAGTTTGGGGGAGCTCGGCGAGAGGCCATGACCCCCGCAGGGTTTTGAGCGGCTGAGCCAGTGAGCACCATGCATCAGGATGAGCTGCCCACGGCTGACACCCTCCTCTCCCGAGCCGTATTTTCTCCCAGAGTACACCACTCCCCCGCTATCAGCATTTCTCGGTTACGCTAGTATTTACACAGCACAAATATGCGGTGCGGCAGCCAGCACCCCGCTCTCACGCTCTGCTCTCCCCGTACACCCAGACGGACATCGCCCAAGCAGGCTCCGGCACGCTGCTCCCCTCCAGGCAACAGCCCCCCTTCCCAAGCCCCCTCCCCAAGCATCCTCTGTCCCTACGAACAGTTCCCTTTGTAAAAAAAAATCTACCTTCCAGTCTTTGAAGCTCCTTTTAAAAGCAATTCCGATAAGGATCTTTTCTCCTTGAACATGACAGGTTGTTAGCCCTGTGGTTATTTCAGCAACAAGCCTGGTGGCTCGTGGCCTCAGATCTCTCTGGCTCTGACAGGAGCAGGAGGAGACGTGGAGCCTTTTCAGGGAGATCACAGGACCTGAAAGCTAACCTGCTTCTAGATCTCGGTGATACCGCAAGAGTCAGGAATCAAATCCAATCAGACCGAATCAGCTTCCCAAACACAGTCCTGCCCCTGCAAGAAAGAACCTGCAACAACTCACACATAATTAGCCCATCTGGAATTCATTTTCAAATCTAATTTTTCCAGCACCTGTTCGCTTTAATCTCCGCCTCTGGGGATTTCCATGTTAAATGCCTTCTTTTTAATGTCATGCTGCTGAGGCTTTCAAGACATGCACTAGACTTACTACCAAACTGAAACCTCGCTCCCCCGAGTCGAGGATATGTCCTGACCCTGTCCCTCCCCAGACAGAAAAGCCCCCCCCGCCTCAATGCCGGCACTCTTCTCCAATCCCCATACACCATTTTATTAGGCAATTATGTTTTAAAAGGCCTTAACAAACGTCAAGCTGGGAGAATTGCTGGGAGGAAGACATCTTCATCCTGAACTTGGCAGTCGCTGGGGCCCCAGCAGCGCCTCTTGGCACGTTATTGCTGCAGCCCCAGAGCCCGAGACCCCCAAAGCCATGAACGCCCAGCGGCAACCGCTCCAAAGGGAGGCCAGGAAAGGGTTAATAAAGGTGCAAGTATTTGGCTCCTGGATAAAAATCAAGCAGCAAGGCCTGGAGGATTTGGACAATGAATCATCCCGAAGACAGGAGCAAACTGGAGAGGGCATCAGGCACTGCGATTAGAGCCTTTCAAACCCGTGTTTGGAGGCAGAAGCTGCAAACGGGTGAGGTCAAACAGGGAAAAGGATGGGTGCACCCGCAGGGAGCGCGGCCAGCCGCATCGCACACCTCTGCGGCGCTGCAGGATGGCTGCAGCAGTAAAGGCTTCTGGGTGGCTTCAAGATTTCCAAGACGAGGGTGATGGGAGCAGCCAAGCGAGGAGCCGGGGCGGCTGTCAGCCAGGAGGGAGGCTCCAGCTCCGTGTCCCGGGGTCAGCTGTTAGCATCCCATGCCATTAGCATCCCATTCCGTTAGTCTTCCCCGTGGGTTCACTCTGCTGAAGGTACCGTGGAGCTGAGCAGCTGTCTGTCCTTTCTGTGTGTTAATAAAGCCCAGCCTTGCTCTTCCCTCTGCTGATTTCCAAGAGCTTTACGGGGCAGTCCTGCCCCCCTGCACAGATAGAGCAGCTGACGCACAGAAACGAAGAGACTTTTCTAAGAGCAAGCGATAGGTCAGTGAGAGTTGAAACCTTCTCAGGAGACTCCTCGTGAGCTAATCAAGCATCCTCCTCCCCAGAGCAGCTGGGACATCTAAGGCTAAGACGGCTTTTCCAGTCCAACATGAACAGTTGGTAGGAGGCCAGGCAGGGGAAGTCCTTCTCTGCTAGTGAAAACTCCCTGCAGAAGTCTCCACACAGCCTGGCTATCGTGTTTTCCCTGGGAAGAGGATTTCAAAGCGAACGGATGAAAGCCACACATGCCACGCTGGGGACAGCCTGGCTCAGAGGTCCCGTTCGGCTCTAATCAAAGCAGTGCCCTGGCTCAGGGCTCTCCCAGGGCCAGATGGGACCACATTTAACAGATGACAAGCCAAGGCCCAGACACCGTCTCAGCCGTTGTAAATGCAAAAAGCACGTGCAGGACTCTACAGGGGCGAAGGGCTCTTTCACAACACCGGTGCCATTGTAAAGGGCTTTCATCTTATACCATCCCAAAGAAACTTGGGGGAATACTAAGGCAGTTGTAAAATGCAGTTCATTGAAGGATGACATCTTCATGTTTGCACTGAGCTGAGGCAAATACCTGTGATAAGAGACAAAGCCAGCCAGTCCCAAAATCCAATTATTCAAGTGTTTCAAAGGGTCTGTAAAACACAGCAATCTCTTTCACCTATTTGGTGGGAGGCTGAAATGCCCATGAAGCTATCCACGGAGCAGAGCACGCAGGTCTGCGGGGAGCAGAGTTAGGCAATGCTGCAGCACTGCAAAGTTACGGGCTCGGCAGACTGACTGCAGTGAGCTGGGAACAGGCGGACAGTAGGCACGGGGTGCAGGCAGCCCGACGGGAGGGATCACACCCAGCTGGGGCACTGAGCACCACTTGCAAGTAACTTCAGCTCTGAATAATCAACCCACGGTTTGGAAGGTACATTCTTAGTGAAATCAAAATCAATATGGGTATTTTCTAGAACCAGACGGGTAAAGGAGGAGGCTGCTCGAAGGCAGAAGACAAGGAATGGAAAATGCCCATATGTAATATTCAGCTGGGCTCTCCCTCACCCAGCTGAGAAACAGGGTGAACTGGCCATCGCAACATCATCCTCTTTACTCACAAAGACAGCGGTTATCCCGACTTGTGTGTCTGTGTCTTGACAAGAGCGACTCATTCATGAGTTTTGTTGCACTGACCTCACCAAGAAGTGTGTGCCGGTTGTGCAACATTCGAATTGGAAACAGCACTGCGCTGTGACGCTTCACAGACAACCCGGGAGGTGAAGGGGGATGTTTTCTTCCTTCTGGCTAATCTTACCTGGAGAGGCATCTCAGAGAAAAGTAACTTGTACTCATGGTCCCCAAAGCCCTTGACTTTCATGCTCTAGAGCAGAACTCTAGCCTTCATGAGCCAGGAAAGCAACGGCCGCATGCACAAAGCGCATACTGCCAATTCCACTGGGGTGGTTCTTCCAAGCAGCAGGGCTAGTGGCCAACATAAAGAGAATGGTAAAGAAATACAGAAATCACAAGGCTAGAGGCTCAAGAAAAACACCTCGCCTCCTGAGGCAGGACAATGCCGGTGCCATCAGGTTTCCTATTTCCATGGAAGAAAAGTCCATCTACGCTAACACACCATCGGGGTGAGTCACCTTCAGGCAGGAACAGCTGCAGCCCCAGGGGACAAGATAGCCCCTGCTCCCGCTCCACAAACACAAAACGTGGTGCAAACCATGGAAAAACAGCTCGCTGACCAAAGACGGCCGTTCCTCTCTTTCCAGGCACCTCTTCGCCTGTGCAGTGAAGTCCCTGAAGCTGCAGCTCTCCTGCCCACAGTGCGGGTCCTCACCCCCTTCTTACGTCTGCAGCATTACCAATCCAGATGCATTTCTTAACAGTCATCGCTGAAGTAACAACACCTACCGCGAGCGGAGGTACAAGACATCTTCTTTGAACAACGTGACTGAAGTACAGTTGTTGGCTTACATTTTGCTATAGATGCAAACAGCAGCACATTTTCCTATTTGCAAAGCCGAAGGTGAATCTACTGCGTTACCCTGCTGTAGACAGATACGAGAGTTCAATAGGTTTTGCCTTGCATCTGGATGCATAATTGTGCTATAAATACATCCACACTACACAAACATTGGCTTTCTGGTTCTCATCCAATTAGAATAAATTTGTATATCTCCTTTCATCCTAAAGGACTTTTTTCAAATGAATACTTGCATATTACATAGAAAAATATATATGGACTTTTCTCCCTACCAGTGATAGCTTCTCAGTCCGAAACAAAATGCAGCAACTACTCAAAAGTGCGGCTGTCTGCCCAAAGCTACCTGGGGGAGCAGCACAGAGGGAAACCCCCAAATCAAGGGCTGGGGAGAAAGCTGCTCGGCTCCTGCAGTTTCAGCAGAGAAAGTGGGAGCAGGGCGCTGCACCACGAAGCAGCTGTCCTCTGCCGCGAGGCCAAGCACTGGACTCCTGCTCCTCATACTGTATTTAACGAACACTTTGACACCATTGTTGTCACCAACCCAGTAACCATGAGGTAGTGTCTCTGACCTCAAGCCTTGTACATTTAATGAGACCCCAAAGGTTTTTAAAGCCAGGAGTGACTAAGCTTTCCATTGATTTAAGAACATTCAAAAAAAATTAAGAGATCCTACAGCCAAACACGTTTAAGTCTGAAGGACAATTACACCCGCCAGAGCAGTCCTCAAGCCTTCCTTGAGCACATCATGAAAAAGGCAATTACGGATAGAAGTTATAAAACATATGAAATAAGCTGCAGCCCGACCCAGTGAATCAGTGGTTCATGGAAATTTCCACAGAAGGCTGGAGCCATCAGTTAGCATTTTGTTTATCTCCCTGCTTCAGATTACGAATGGGAGTGAAGACCTTATGGGAACACCCACTGGCTTCCTGCTACTCCGAACACCCAGGGTGGCCCACATGTGGGACACAGACCTACGGGACCTCCTGCAAGGCTGCACCCTGACTGTGGCACAGCACGGGCTCCTCTGGAGCAGGACCGCAGCACGCCAGGAGATGATCTCATCTTCACATTCAGGGCCAACCCTTGCACAATCGAGCTCTGCTGTATCTAAATCGGACCTGGCTTATCAGCTCCTAAGAGCAAGCTGTCTGTGTGCTAAAGAAAAAGGCACGGATTCCATCTACCTCTCCGAAAGGGCAGATTCCTCTCAAGCACTGAATTTAGCCAAGAGGTGTTCCTCATTTTCAGGTGGTGTCAAGACAAGCCAGCAGTTCAGCATTAAGGGGTGGAGGGGGAAAACGGAGTCTCTCGGGCTAATTCACCCAGGCCAGCGTTTCCTGGTCTCAGGCTCAGGGCGTACAAGAGCATTTTGACCAGCTCCATTTCTGTGCCTGGTGCTCAATATGCTCATTTCAGTCGTCCCAAATGAAGGTAGCTTTGCTTGTCCTATGCTTCTTAATGGACAGCCTTAATACAGGCGGCAGGAGAGCTGCAGGCTGAGCGGGCTGTCAATATCAGACACATACAAGAATGAGATAACTAACTTGGGTGATGGATGGCTAATTAGTGGCAAGCAGCGCCACTAATTAATTCCTCTGTCCTTGCTCACGGGGCACCAACATACACAAGTTTGAGAAGCAGTGCTATTAGCCTCCGCAGAGATCCTGTCCCCAAGATTCTAACTCGGCCCTGCAGATGCAGGGGGGGCTGGAGATCTCCAGAAACAACTGTCAAAGGAATAATGACAGTCCATTCGTCACTAACAAACTGTACCGAAAACTGCAGCAGACAGGTTACCAGCAGCGCTCTTGCATGACGCTTCAATAAGAGTATTTTGGATCTGCTCTGGATGCACGTATCCCCCGCTGCTCTGAGAACAGGACAGCAACCCCAGAACTAGAGAGGAATGCCAGAGGCACACCCCAGTCCTGCCCTTGCTCTGAAAGCCTTCGCACCTTCCTTTTGTTGCGGAGAAGGACGCACAGGCCTATCTCTCGTCTTGCTGCATGAACTACACTATCTTTTGTTGCATCTGCTGCCCAGTTGGTGCCTGTAAGCGTGTCATACACGAGCGAATCCCTGGCATCAGATAAGGAACCCACTGCTTTCACCGCACCATTTGTGCTAGCACACATCATGTGGCTGTGCAGTGGAGCAAGCTGAACTCAGCTGGGGATTAAAATCAACAGAGAAGCATGGCAAATACTGCCAACAAATACGGAAGAGGAGGTGAATTCAGAGCACTTGCTATGGGCTCTCGGTGGATCACTGCAGACCTCATTTAGAAGCGGGATAGCCAATGGCTACTGCTGCACTGGAAATCATAACAGCACGTTTACGAGGGGGAAATGGAGCTTATGCAATTACTTTGCAGACATGTGGTGAACGGTTACTACTGAAAATAGTTCAGACCTCAAAGACATCCTTTCCTGAGCTGGCCATACCGATTTCCAGACACGCGGCAGAGCCGTTTTTGCAGCTCCCCCCACCCACAGGCACGCAGCCCTTACCTTATAGAACACATCAGGCACATACTGCTCGCTGCTGGACTCCTTGGCATAGCCCAGCTCCGGTGCATCTCGGCAGGGCAGCAAACACTCATCTCGAACCAGCGCCATGCACTGATTCGAGACCTGGTACCCCTCAAAGTGGACCTGATTGTCGGGACCACCTGGAAGAGAAGAGGTTGATTAAAAATCCCACACGAGAGTGATTTGCCCAGTGTAACTCAGAGAGGCACGACTCAAAGAGCAACGTTAAACACGATGCTCTTGCTAACAGTGAAGAATGGTGAGATGAAACCGCTGGTGCTGCTGTGTGGAAAGTACTTCTAGGCAAGAATTCCCTCTAAGCTCTACATTTATTTAGTAACACACATTTTCACAGCTAGCCTAACGGGACAGACCCCTGGAGTGACAGCAAGAATGCTTTGCCAGGAGCTTAAAGGAGGTGAAGCTGCCCTTTCGGAAGGCTCCTTATAGCATCACCCTCCCCCTACCCTGCAGGTATCTTCTCTCTTTCAAAGCAAAAACCAGGCACACAGATCCTGTGAGCCTGTTTCATTTCCAAGGAACCATGAGCTGCAGATTCAGGGTTGGTCACCTAGTAATGTCAGGCATAAGAAGAAAAAGTGTTTTCTCAGCCTGTAATGGATGGCTTGGTGGAAATCTGACATGGAAAAGTGGAAATTAAGGCTCTGGCTCACTGATAGATCACATGCTTGGCGCTTCAATTTGGATAATGTAAGCAACATCAGGTCATGTGTCATTAGAATACAACTGGAAAGAGAAGATACAGACAGATGGTAGGAAAACGTTACTATTTCCAAACATAGGAATTCAGGAGGGGATAGGAATTAATCCATGTAGAGGATTTAAAGGCAAAGTTGATGCAAACTATCCTGATATATTTATATGGCACAAAAGGAAGGAATCAAGTGTTTAAATAGAAACCTGATGGGCTGATTTAACAGAAGAGAATGAAATTATCTGGAACAGAAAAGAGGAAATATTCGTTTTCTACCCTTTGATCTCTAACCTCAATCACTCACTGCTCCAGAACAAACACTCCTAGAAATTAAACATAGACCAAGACACGGGGAAGGCCTGAACAAAGCATGGCATTATTTTCTCAGTAAAACACCTTGTTTAAAAAAAATAGAAATAAATAAAAAAAAGAGCGAGCGAGATACAAATCTATCTTTAATGAAAGATGGATGCGTTTAGCAGTCTGGAATGTACAGGCAGCTGTCTGATTGCACGGGCCTGTTAACTGAACGAGAGCGTTTTCACTGAAAAAGGCTCCGGGAACACTTACAAAACCTGGGCTCAGAGGAGGCAATATAATATCACACTTTCAGTTTTTACATTGGATGCTATTTGGAAGTCATGCATTTTTCTCATTGTGTTAAATAGACCCAGAACCCAGCGTATCTGCTCCAGGGAAATTTTAAATGAATACATGTGTCATCCCATGGAGAACAGCAGATTGAACTTCTAACGCTACAACTCTCCCAGCACATGCCAACATCTCCCCTCGCAGCCCGGGCAGCGCAGACAACTCCAAAGTGCCTCTGGAGACTTGCTGTGAAAACGGCTAAAATCAGAGGTGACAAAGCAAAGCATTTTGCAGGCTTCTCTGTTTTATTCAGGCAAACAAAAAATGTTTCCATGCACGGAAGAGCACAGCATCCTACGTAAGGGTTTCCCTGACAGCGACACAAGGGAGATAAAGGTCCCTCCTTTATGGTGAACCAGCCAGAGTAACTTTCAGGATCCGGATTGCCACGGTTCTGCACTGCCGCTTTCAGGCAACAGAATTTGGAGCTTAAAGACTTGAAACAGAAAAGCGAGCAACAGTTATTCCCCTGGCTGCAGGAAAAAATGCTTTCTGGATCAGAAAGGTAGATGCTCCAGGTCTGAGCCTCAACTAAGCTTCCTGCAGGGGACAGGGTAAATAACTGTAGAGAAGATAGCACAAAGAACGAAAAAGTATTTTACTTGATAGTGCAAAGCAAAACCCTTGTTAAATAGGACAGATGGGGACCAGGATGTCTGACTTCTTCTGGCAGAGCTGCATATTCTTCTTCTATTAACAAGACATAATTCATGTGTAACCAAGAAAGCCGGGGCAAGCCGAGGCCAGTTTATACCTGTAGCCACAACTGTGACAAACTTGGATCCAAAATGACCATCTGGAGAAAGGCGACAGATGTTGGGCTGCTGGTTCTGAAAGTTTCCAGCTGTGATGCACTCTTCTGCACTTAGATAATACGTGTCCTGAGGGAAGAGCAGAAATGTCAATAAAAAGGACAACGTGATGTAGCCTAGACCTATTTCCCTGGTCTGCAGCCAAAGAAAGCTACCAACACCCTAGTAAAACACGCTTTCGTAGAAAGTTGCTGCAGAGACTGGGAAAAGAATGTGACATGTCAGCTACCCAGCCCTGAGCCTGGCTCTCGCCAGGAGGACTGTCCCACTTCTAGTTCCACCCACCTTTACACACCTTTTTTTTTTTTTTTAACTGGGGTTTCATTTTCCAAATAGGGATATCATTGATCTTAGAATTACAGGAAGCCGAGAAGGTCAAAGTTTGAGCCATGTATATCTCACAAAGCCCAGCCCATAGGAACATCCTCTGACTGAGTCACTTTTGCTCACTGAGTTTGCACCTCACACAACCCCATTCCCTTGCTCTACTAAATTTTCTTAAACCACGAGCACCATTTTCTTAGAGCAGAGTGGGTGAAGGACTGCAGGCAGCTTTGCATGCTCTCCAAACAGCTTCAAACCCCCCACAGTGCTCTTCGAGCTCAAGCTCCTTTTCCTTCAGAAGCTTCTGAAAAACCCCGTTTCACAAGAATTCCAGTCCCAGTGTCACCTCACCTCCAGCCCTGTGCTGCCCTGGCTCAGTACTCTGCTTGGCAGAGCCAGCGTTTATGCGATTACACAAACCCTCAGTACCAGCAGCTGTAATTAGCTGCACACTTGAATCTCACCTTGTTTCTGCTGTATCGAACAGTCCCTTTCCGTGTGTCTTCAGAGACCAGATCAGTAAATATCCAGCCAACCTATAAAGAAGTGTTATGGAAAGTTGCTTTAAGAAAAAAAGAACAAAAAAAAAAACAACCCCCAAACCAGAAGAGAGCTTATACATTTTCTCCTAGCAGGACAAGATGTTCTTGGCTCCTCGCACGACCCTGCTGTATGCTGCCTGAAGGAAATGGCTCTCCCAGCTGTGCCGGGCTCATTTGAATCCAATTTCCAGGAGCAGCATGCCAGCTGGCCGGCCGGGGGCACCTGCAGCTTTATGTTTCACTATGGAATATTTTTTCATGGAAAGATCTGGAGGCTGCAAGAGGCCTCTCAGCCGCTACCTCCTCCCACCCACAGCAAAAAGCATTTCCTATTGAGCATTCAGAGCAAAGCAGCATCGGGAGCGCCAGCAGATGACAAAGCAGCTCACATGATCTCATTTTGAAGCTCGCAGTCACTAGTTAAGATAAAGCTCATATGTTCCCACTGGAGTATGATTCATTCCAAATCAGAGTCTGCTCCGATCCTTTTGCTTTCTGCATTGTTTGCACATAGGAGTATAGATGTGTACACACACACCGCTGTGTGAACCCTTCTACACACGTGTGCTAAAAACAGCTCTGATCAGCCCCCTCGTGACCAACTCCCACAGCATTAACCCTTCAGAGGAAGAACTGCTGATTCAGATCCCTAGCAGAGCCCAGACAGACAAAAATCTGCAACCAGCGGTAAGTTACGCATTAAGTCATATTGATTAAAAGTATCTGATGTGAGAAGCAGAGGAAAAGCATGGAAATAAATAACACGCACAGAAGCTTTGCTTCAGACACTGGCAAAAGGCTAAAGATCTTATCTTCAGAGAACAAAAGATCTCACCACAGATGTTTATAGTCTACTGTACTGAGCCTTTTCTGATTTGTGTTTTCTTTAGCAAGTCAAATCTTGTTTGTGTACATCTCATTCCTGGCATTCACATGATACCAAAAGATTTCCCAAACTGGAAAATATCAGTACAGGTTTGCGAGATGTCAGCGCACCAGCGGATCCCAATACCCATACGTCCTGATCGGATGCCTGGCAGGCTGCGGGCACCAGGGGAACAGAGGACTGAGGCTGAGCTGCTGGGGGACCTGTGCCTCTAAACCAACGTACAGATTAACTCGCCGCAGCCTGCCTGAGCAGCACCAACAGACAGGAGCCCACAGAGGAGAATAAAAAAAACAAGCAGGAGCCTCTGCTCCTGGAATTGGAGCACCGATTCTGTCAAAAGGAAGAACAAACTCGGAAGGCAACTCCAGCTACATCTGTGCCAAATTAGCACTCACCGGGGAGATGCTACCAGGAATGGCTCCTATCTGAGGAGAAATAAAGGGAAAATCATGTTTCTGCTTCTTTGCTACTCCCTTTGATGTCATTCATGACAGAGGACTGCTGACTTCAGCTGCACAGCCCTGCTAGATGCTTGTGCTCAGGAAAATACTCGTTTTGTTTTTTCATACCTAAAAGCATAAGAGCTACCAACATTTAAGCTAGATTTCAGATGTGCCCAAACGGTCTTGAATAACCCCGTGGAGCTGAAGAGAACTGTCGACGACTTTCTTCATTGCCAAACAAAGACGCATGAGATCCAACAACATCCTAACCTTTCTCAGTCCAAGCTTTGCAGCGATCTCATCCACAACCTCAGCTTTTGGATCTTCCAGGATCTCCAGGCTGTTCTGTGTACCAATCTGCAGCAAAGAAAAACTCGCTAGTAAGACAGAACAGGAAAAAACACAGTACACTTAGTCATTGTCAGGAGCGAGGCAGAGGATGGAAGCAGAGGTCTGGGTTTCCCCTTCGGCATTACCACTGACCAGTTTCACCCCGGAGACCTCCTTTACTCACAGACCCATCCTGTCGGAGCTCTTCAGCTAAGTTTGCAAACTGTTGGGGTTTACGAATGAAAGACTCAGCATTTACAAACAGGCCATTGCTGTTTCCGAGCACTTTGAAAAAGGCAAGAGATTATATAATTTTTCCCAGAGCTCTGTGTTCAACCTGCCAGTTTTGTACCGCCGTTTCGTTTGCTTGAATCTCTGAGCAGCAGAGAGGCAGAAATCCAGTGAATCCAAGGGCCCACACCCAGGCCTTCCCCCCGCGCTCCGGAAAACACGACTCCATCTGGGTGCGTTTCAGAGGCAAGCTTTCTCGTGTGGGAAGATGCCGTGCCAAGAAGCACAGCAGAGACTGCTTGCCAGGAGAGCAAAAGCTTCCTTGATTTTACCGTGCACAACTAGAAGCATATGAACTTCCAAAGCAGGGGCTTAACAGTGATATTGAAACAATAGCGGGCACGGCTCTGTTCATGTTGGAAAGAAAGGGAAGAACTTATAAAAGGCTTGCAATTCTGCTCTCACACAAACAATCCCAAAGATCCATTTGTTCTTTTCCACTGACAAATTTGTTGCATTTTACTCCAGCAACCCTGCGGAAATCATCAAGAGGAGGAAAACATATCATGGTGGGTCATATGTTTGTATACATAGTGTCTGCACTTAGAAAAGTGACTTTGGTCAGTGGTGAAGAAGCCAGTAGGCAAACTCAACTTCAAGCTGAGCCTTGTGGGCAGAGTGGCTTTTTGTTTTTGCCATCTCCCTTTTCAGCTCTCCGACACCGAATTCAGCTTTCGGGTTCCCCGGGAGGCCAGGCTCGGCGGGACCCGCTCTGGCTGCAGCCTCCCGAGAGGACTCGGCGGTGCCGAGCGCGGCGCCGTGCGGTGCCGTGCACCATCTAGCGGGGACTCCCGGCTGCTCCGAGGCACCAAATCTCATCCTCGGCCTCTCGATCACAGTAGCAGACTTCATTTTTGTCTAATGAAGCTGCTTAAATTTTCCCAGAGAGCTGATAAGAAACTGAAGCAAGGGCCGCAACTTTTTTTTCCTAGTACAGAATTTGTTTTCAAGCTGTTCTGTACCATAGCCTTGAAAATCCGGTAATCAAGGAAACATGAAAAGTGAAATCCACTGTTACAAAGTCACCCCAGCTTTAAATTATCTGAGCAAAGAGTAATGCAAAAGAAAGCGTAAAAATAACAAAAAGCAAATCTGGGTTTTAAAATCCTTTCAGTAGCAATAACGCAAAGACATAAATCACAGTATCTTTTTCATGGGACCGTTTTCCTTATGGAGCTGCAGTCGGAAATACAGCATGAGGTTTCCCAAACAAAAAAGTGTTTCCATGTTCCCCGATTATCTTTACGAGCCGACACCGACGCCACGGCACCCAGCTTTTACCTGTGGGGGTTCATAGATGGCAGCAACCTCCGCCCGGATCCCCAGAGGGATGTCTTTGTGCTCTGTGTACCGGCCATATAGATACCCAAGATGCTGGTTTCCTGTCTTCCGCCAGAAGTCTAGGAAGCGATCTGCAATTGTGTGGTTCTCAAACATGATGTTGTCAACATGCCTGTATTTCTGTTTGACAAAGTTCAAGCGTCAGGCCATCCTCGACTAGGTCCGTTTAGTTTGCCGATCGTCAATACCTTCCCAGCTGCCCAGGACGCACACCACCCCTTACAGCTGAACCCTGCCAGAGCAGGGACAGGGAAAGCTAGCCAGCTCCCTCCCTCTCCCCTCTGCTGCCTTCAGCACCACTCCCCTGCCCAGCAAGCACGGGACGGACTGTGGGGAAGCGCTGAGCATCCCCAGCACCCCATTAGCTTAGTTTCTTTACTAGGGTCCTTATCCCAAGAGCCTTTGTAACTAAAAAAAGACTGTGAAATTTAAGAGGAAACAAGAAGAAACAGTGGGTGGCCTTTTGGAGGAAAAAGAGTGGAGATTCATTGCTAGTGGTGCCAGCTCAGATGTCCTCCAGTTTAAGAGGAACC